GAGCCCTCCCTGCCTTTGTTTTTGTTTTGTTTTGAGACAGGGTCTCACTATGTAGCCCAGGCCAGCCCAAGAACTGGGATTATAGATGTGAGCCACCACCCCAATTCAAAAGCCCTTTATTTCAGAGATCCTTTGGACTCGAGTTTTACTCAAGTTGTACACTTAGAAATGGCTAAAATGGTAAATTGTAAGTTCTATATAGCTTACAGCAAAACGAGGCCCAGGGGGCAGCTCTGTTGTAGGCTTCTGTCTAGAATGTGTGAGGTCCTGGGTTCAATCCCCAGCACAGGAAAGCAAACAAACCCACAACATCACTGTGAAACAAAAATTAAAAAAGCAAACGCTGCTCCTGGCTCTCCTGATTCCAAAACTGAAAAGGGACATGCCACTCCCCATAAGGAAGCAGGACCCAGAAAAACAACTCTGGCTTCCAGCTCCCTGGGGAGCCAGGCTCCTGTGTGGCAGCCTGCCACTTTCCACTCCAGCTGTGCCCAGTGGTTGTCTGTCCCTCAGAGGACACATCCACTTCCCTTCCTTGAGGCAGGGGAGGGGTCATCTTTACCACAGCAAAATCTGCCCATGCTGTTACCAATCAACCCAGCCTTGGATTCTCTGGCTTAACTGGAGATCGAAATTACGAAGAGGCAAAGACTTCATCCACGTGAGGATTTTAATGGGGCGCACCCTAGAGCATGAGACAGTACTCAGAATACAGTCCAGGCTGCTCCCCTCAAGAAGCAGAGGAAAGCTTATGTGGCCTGAGGTGCTCACTATCGCCCCCTCCTGGACTGGTTGAGTAGGGCATTCTGCACATGCAGAGAGAGGCTTGACAGGAAGCTGGTGAGGCACTTAGGCCCATCCTGGAAAACCTGCTTCTCATTAAAAAGAGGCTCACGCCTGTAATCCTAGCTACTCAGGAGGCAGAGATCAGGAGGCTCACGGTTCAAAGCCAGCCCAGGGAAATAGTTTTTGAGACCCTATCTCGAAAACACACATCACAAAAAAAAAAGAAAGAAAAAAGTGCTGATGGTGCCGGACGCTGGTGGCTCACGCCTGTAATCCTAGCTACTCAGGAGGCAGAGATCAGGAGGATCAAGGTTTGAAGCCAGCCTGGGCAAGTAGTTCGCGAGACCCTATCTCGAAAACCCCTATTACAAAAAATTGGGTTGTGGAATGGGTCACAGTGAACGCTCTGAGTTCAAGCCCTAGTACTGAAAAAATAAATAAATAAAGAGAGAAAACATGGCTGGGAAATCAGGCCTTTCTTAGTCTGATTCAACTCCAAGCTCTTCCTTGCCATAGGCCCTGGTTATGTACATCCTGTGGTTTGCAGGGAGTAGCCACATCCATTTCTGCACAGATGGCACACAGACCTGGGCAAGAGACAGCCCCTGTTCCCCAAAACAGCAGCACGAGCACCTCAGCAGCCCCCAAAACCTTCCTCCTTACAAGTTCATTTAGGTATTTTCCTTGTAACCCAACCCAACCCCCCCCCACCACTTTACCTCCCTAAGACTCAAAGTGGGTAAAGTAGACACCTGGCAGTTAGCAGGGCCTCTAGTTCCAGCTACTTGGGAGGCTGAGGCAGGAAGCTTGCTTGAGCCCAGGAGTTTGAGACTAGCTAGCCTGGGCAACACAGCAAGACCTTGGGTCAAGGTGAGCCAGCGACACCCAGGGGCAATAGTTCTGCAATCTTTGGTGTAAAAGGTGTTTTTGCAATATCCAGTCTGACACAGTCAAAATTCACCAAGGCCTGTCCCCAACACCTGCACCTGGGTGGGACGGGGAAACTCTATTCGTGACATGCCTAGCAGTCATGGTGGCCCCTGGGAGTCAGGAAATAAAGTTGCTCCATCTTTGAGGGCAACTCAAAGGATTTTATAGTTATCCCCAGTGGGGCCCAGGAAGAGTACCCACGGGTGACATGGGGCAGATGGGTCATTATGGTGGACTTTTCCTAACTGTGCAGATGTGGGAGGGACAGGACAGACAACCCATATGAAGTTGCCTGTGGTAGAGGGGGTTAGGAAAACTGAGTCACTGCTCCTGCATGTTCGTGTTATCTCTGCTCTAGACACCCCATACATAGCACTCCCAAAAGGCCCACAGAGATGCCAGACTTGTTCCTGTGGCAGTCTCTTAACCCCTCTTCTGCACACCACCTCTGGGTGCCTCCAGCTGCTATCTTAAAGGGGAAGGAGGCTGCATCAAACTAAAAGGCTCTGTACAGCAAAGGACACAGTCACTAGACTGAAGAGACAGACAGCCTACAAAATGGAAGAAATCTTTGCCAGCTATACTTCTGACACAGGCTTAATAACCAGAATTTACAGGGAGCTAAAAAAAAAACTAACCTCTCAAAGAATCAACAACTCACTGAAGAAGTGGGCAAATGAACTGAGCAGACGATTCTCAAAAGAAGTACAAACAGTCAATAAATACAGGAAGAAATGCTCAACATTCTTGGTCATAAAAAAAAGCAATTCAAAGTGACATTGAGATTTCACCTCATTCCAGTCAGAATGACTATCATCAAGAAAACAACAACGAGAAACAACAACGAATGCTGGAGGGGATGTAGGGGAAAAGGAACCCTCATACAGCTTTGTGCGCAATGTAAATTAGTACAACCACTATGGAAAGCAGTATGGAGGGTCCTCAAAAAATTAAAAATAGAACTACTGATGCTGGATTGTTGATCCTGAGTTCGTGTCCTGGCGTAGTTGATGATGAAAGAGCTAGACCAGGAGTTAAGAGTAAAGCAAGCGCAAAGTTTATTATGGTGGGTGGGACTTAGTGAAACGCTAAGCCAAACAATGACTGAAGTCTAGGAGTGACATAGGGCACTAACTGGCTTACGTCCAACTATCCCACCTTGAAATTGTATTGGTGATTGGTTGGTGCCAAGTCAGCTCTTACTGAACTCGGTCACCTCTCCTTATCGAACTTAGCATTTCAAGGTCTGATCAGCTTGTTCTGGCCTTGAAAGTCTGGTCAACTTGTCTTGGCCTTGGGACCAACTACCCACATTGTGCAGCTGCATTTTATTATTTTGGTTAGAGGCTTGTTATTTTTGTGAGAAACCTGTTGTTTCGCATGCCCCTCCTTTTACATGTCTGTTTCTAAAGTGCTTTTCTCATCCAAAGTGGAGTCACCTCTGTCATTGCTCTCCTTACACAACCATACGACTCAGTGATACCACTCTTGGGCATACACCCGAAGAAATGTAAGTTAGGATACAATAGGGGCACTTGCACCCCCATGTTTATAGCAGCACTATTCACAATAGCCAAGCTTTGGAAACAGTTCAGATGCTCTACAACTGATGAAAAGATTAAGAAAGTGTGATATGCATGTGGCATTATTCAGCCATAAAGAAGAAGAAATTATATTGTTTGCAGGTAAATAGATGGAATTGGAGAACATCAGGTTAAGCAAAGTAAACCAGGTTGAGAAAGCAAAGGTCAAATATCTTCTCTTGTATGTGGAAGCTAGACCTAAAAGGTAAATGTACTTATAAATACATATATGATCTTACATACATATTATATACAGTGAGTCTGTCAGAGGGAACTAAAACAGAGGAAAAGAGAAGGACAGAGTGAATAATATCAAAATATATTGCATCTGTGTATAAAGATGATGTAATGAAAGCACTCAAAGCTGCTGAATAATGGGTAGGGAGACAGAGAAAGGGCAAGTAGCCGGTAGCTCACTCATGTAATCCTAGCTTTTCAGAGGGCAGAGATCGGGAGAATGGAGGTTCAAAGGCAGCCTGGACAAATAGTTTGAAAGACCCTACTTTGAAAAACCCATCACAAAAAATTGCTGATGGAATAGCTCAAGGTGTAGCCCTGAGTTCAAACCCCAGTACCAGAAAAAAAAAAAAAAGAGCTAGTAATACAGGGAAGTATGATATATATGTGTGTGTGTGAAGTACCGTTGCAAAATCACATCTAACAATCAATTTACACTTAAAAAATGAAGGACAGGAAGGTGAAACAGGTTCTGCTGGGGGGTGAGTACAAGGGGAAGGGGGGAGGGTAAACGGAGAGGGAGAAGGAGGGCAAATATGGTGGATGTACTTTAACGATGATAAACCCATTTTAAAAGAGGGGAGGGAGCAGGAATGGAACTGAGATGCTGCTTTAGCAAACGCCACTTGCACTTTTTCTGCGTGGACTGTTCCCACCCAGGCTGCTGTGTTTCTTGCATGCCAGAGGTCCACTGCACTCCACTGCATGCCCTCTACCCTTCCTGGCCAGCTCTTGGTCAAATGCCTTTGTGGGCTGAGCTGTCTGTAGCCAGGCAGGCTAAGCTGGGAGGCTAGGACCCACCTCTGGCCTTAGGGACAGGACCCTGAGGTTTGGCACATCCTGTCACCATTTCCTCTTCTGTAAAATGGAGCAATACTTCCATAGTGCCAACGTGGTAGCAGGCAAGGCATGATGAAGGTCCATTTGCCAGAAACAATGCATAAGGCATCCGTCCAAGACGTGGGCAGCTGGGCCCATGAGTGGGGACCAGGACATCAGTGCTTTGAGCTTCGAGCACAGGCAGCAGCCAGGCACTACCCATTCCCTTCTCCCTGGATGTCTGGGCCATAGTCAGATTGCTCCCTACCTGGGCCAGTGGGTCAGTGCTTTCTCTTACCTCTTACATCCTTAAATCACAGTTACCCTTTTCTTTCTCCCTTTCTTTATTGCAGTATTAGAGATGAGCTTCAGGGCCTCACGCATGCTAGATAAGTGTTCCATCACTGAACTACACCCCCAGCCCTTATGGCTCTTCAAAGAGAAATGTTTTCCACAAAAATACTACAAGGAAGCACCAGCGGAATGGAACTTTTAAAAATCCAAACTGCCTCTGGGCATGTGGGAAGCACCTATAATCCCAGCATTTGGGAGGTTAAGGCAGGAGGATCTTGGTTTCAAGCCAGCCAAGGCAAAAAAAAAGTGAGGCCCTATTTCAAAGAACAAGCTGGGTGTGTTGCTACATACCTGTATCCCAGCTATCCAGGAAGTGGAGTTAGGAAGGTCTGGGGCTGACTCCAGGGAAAAGTGAGGCCCTATCTGAAAACAAATTAAAATTGAAAGGGCTGAGTGCTTGTGTAGCAAATACAGGTCCTGAGTGCACACACACACACACACACACACACACACACACACTCACACAAAAGATACCTCTAGAGATTATGAGATGGTGAATTCATAATGAACTAATCTGCCAGAGACAACTGGTAGATGATAAATCCACAGTTGTCTACTTAGTTTTCTCTGTAAGATATATGTTACTAATGATTAAAAAATTAAGCTGGGAATGCAGCTCAGTGGTAAAGACCTTGCTCACCATGCACAAAGTCCTGGGTTCCCCCACTAGCATCTCTCTCTCTCTCTCTCTCTCTCTCTCTCTCTCTCTCTCTCTCTCTCTCTCTCACACACACACACACACACACACACACACACGTGTATTTACAACCATATATAATCAAAATATGATAATAAAGCTATAGGAACAAGAAGAGTAAAGAAAAACAATTTTGCATATAAAGTATGGAAAGAACAGGATGTGTTTTATAAAGAATGTAGAATGTGTTTTTGTTAAGGGGAGATTTTAATTTTTTTATTTTTACAGTACTGGGGATGGAACCCAGGGCCTCATACTTGGTAGGAAACTGTTCTGCACTGAGTTACTCCAGATCTGAGAAATGTTTGAAAGTGAAACAAGAAAGAAAGTGGGCTGGCAGAGTGGCTCAAGTGGTAGAGGGCCTGCCTAGCAAGCGTGAGGCCCTAGTATTGCCAATGAAAAAAAAAAAGTAAGAGCATTTTCTTTACCTTTTGGCCAATCTGCCCAGGGAATAAGAGTTCTGTATCTTTTTTTTTTTTTGGTGGTACTGACGTTTGAACTCAGGGCCTTGCTTAAGGGTTCTATATCGTATCAAAATAATTTCCTGTGCTTTACACTGTTAAAAGAGTCAAAGTCTTTTACAATGATGTTATCATCTATGCTTGCTTTTATGTTCTTTTATTGTTTTATTGTGTTTGGGTTCCTTCCCACCTTTGGTGTTGAGGATTGACAGACAGCACTAAATTTGGCTTAAGCTTGAGCTACATCATTCTGTCCTCCCCACCTCCAGTTCCTGTCACAATTTCTTATTGTCATTTTGGCTAAATAGAAGAACTCATTGTGGGTGGGGGGTGTTACTTAGCAAAGAAGAGGCCCCGGCCCTGGCTTTAATGCCCCATACATCACACACACACACACACACACACACACACACACAGCCTCACCTTCTCCTGGTTATATTTGAATAGCTAAATGCTTGTAAGTATTTCAGAAACTGGGTAAAGTTCCTTGAAATTTGCCAATACCCTTGCTGTCCATAATATGCTCTCGTATAACATCAGTCATAATTCCAATTATGATTTAAAATGTTGTCTGTCACCAAAACAACCAATATTCCTGGTCAATTGCTTTATTTTGTAATGAACTCTCACCAGATCTTTAATATCCCATGTTCAGTCTTTAGTCATCACAGACAGCTGTTTCACTCTGATGCTTTTTCTTCACAGTACTAGGGTTTGAACTCAGGGCCTCATGCTTGCCAGGCAGGCGTTCTACCATTTGAGTCAGTTTGCCAGACTTTTTTGTGTGTTAGGTATTTTTGAGATAGGGTTTCACTTTTTGCCTGACCTGGCCTCATACCAATCTTCCTGATCTCTGCCTCTTAAGTAGCTAGGGTTACAGGCGTGAGTCACTGGCATCTAGCCTTTTTGTTTTTGGAACAGGGTCTCTATGTAGTGCAGGCTGGCCTCAAACCCAGTATCCTCCAGCACCAACCTCAGGAGTGCTGGAATTACAATCTTGTAGCACCATGCCCTGCTTAATTAGAGCCACAGGCTTCTGATGGTATTACTTAAATACTTCTGAGACCATACCACTGGGCTGAGCCAGGGACTCTAGAAGTGTCCAGAGAAACTCATGGAGCAAAGATCTTGCTAACCCAAGGTCAAACAGAACAAAAATCAGGTACAGTTCAGTGGGAAAGTATACGCTTAGCATGCAAGAGGCCCTGGATTCAATCCCTAGCACTGTGTGTGTATATGTGGAGGGGTCTTGCTCCAATTATCTTTGATCAAAAAGAGAGATGAAAGTCTGGTGGAGTGGTTCAAGTGGTAGAATACCTGCCTAGTAAGCATTAGGCCCTGAGTTCAAATCCCAGTAAAGCCAAAAAAAAAGTGAGGGGGATGAGTTTGATATTTTGATGGATTAGGATAATATACTGTGTGGTGTATCAGATTCTGACTTTGCTTATTTTCTTTGAGGGTTTATGACATACCTGTAAACTGGGTTCTAGTCTTCTTACACATTTTGTCCACCCTTACCAATTCCTTCATTCTTTCTTTTTTCTTTCTTGGCATACTGAGGTTTGAACTCAGGGTCTCACTCTTGCTAGGCGGGTGTTCTAGCACTTGAAGTCACATTCCAGCCTTTTTTGCTTTAGCCATTTTTCAAGGTAAGGTCTCCAGTGTTTGCCCAGAGCTGGCCTTGGACCCTGATTCTCCTACTTAGAGCTTCCCATGTAGTTGGGATCATAGATGCACCCACCACACCAGACTTATTGAGTGAGATGGGGGGGTTCTCACTTACTGTTGTCCAGGCTGGTCATAAACTATGATCCTCTTGGTCTCCGCCCCCCAATTTTTTTCTTTTTCTGTTTTTGAGACAGGGTCTTGCTATATAGCCCAGGCTGACCTTGAATGACAAGCTTGCACCACTACAACTAGAATTTAGTTCCTCCATTTCGCTTTAACAACTGGCTACAACTCTCCAAATTTTTATTCTCAATTTTCCTCCCTCCTTCCTGACTTGGCGTCATTGAGAACAAAAACTTGACTGGATTCTTGTTCGGACTCAGGTTGTCTTGCAGCTGATTTGTCACACCAGGATCTGAAAAAGTCTTAACAGGCTGAAATCAGACAACTTGATTAAAAAAAAAAAAAAAGAAAAGAAAAAGAACTCACTCATCATACCAAATAATCTGTGGGTAACTTTCATGCTTGGAGTTACTGTGAAGTCCTTCAGAATTTCTGCATATTCCATTTTCTGCTCCAGAAAATAACCATGACTGTGACACTGATATCTATGCCACCACCATAATTCAGACTACAACCCGAGAAATCCATTGGATTGCTACTGCCATCCTCATTCTACAGTCTCAAAGACACTTAGAGCCCAGCATTTAGAAGTGTTTTCAACACGCTACGCTGCTCACTAGACTCAAAAACTGCTTTATAGTCAGCGCCAACCACTAATTTTGTTTTTCTTTGTTTCCACAGAAATGTCCCTCATTAAATGCTTGCATCACCCAGCAAATATCCTCATCCTAGTTCTGCCAGTCTTTCATGAACAAAAGGGAAGGGGTACAGAAAATAGACTTCTATTGTTTAGGGAAATAAAAAAAGGTCTCTTCTCTCCCTGGACAAGTAGGTTACTGACAAGATTCTTCTTGATCAAACTTGGCCAGGCTCTTTGTAAAGATTTAAGCAAGTACAAACATGGTTTCTAACAGCTCAAGGCTGCAACCCCAGGATGAGTCTACCAGCCCTCCTCAAAGTGCCTGCCTGAGAAAATTCAAGATTGCTAAACAAATTTCCTATTTGTTCCAGCCAACAGTTGAAGATAGGGCCCCTGTCTCCCAGCTTCTGTGGGAGGATGGAGTCTGTATTTCCCTAACCCCTAACAGCAAACCCAGGTTGCTTCCCTCCCTGAGTTTCCTAACTGCTCACTAGCCTGACTCTCCAGCACGCCTACTCTCTCATTCCCCAAAACAGTCACCTCCGAAAACGTGGAAATGGAGCTCAGCTCTTTCCCCTACTGTCAGCTCCTAAATTAAATCTGTTTTTCGCCACATTGACTACTGTATTGGTGTGCTCCTCTGTGACATCTTTGTGACATGCAGTCCTCCTCCCTGAGCCCAGGACCCCCCAGATCCCTTCTGGGAGGTGGCCAGTACTCATGACAGCATCCAGTGTGCCCCCAGGCGTGGAGGACCACTTTTAACAATTAAAAAGCAACTCTGGTCTGTTAGCAGGGCAGGCCTGGGGTGACTTCCTCTTTCTCTAACAGTCCCACTTGGAGATGAGGTTCCTGCATACCACCCAGCCCCCAGTCCTGGGGGTTCCTGGGCACAGGTGTGTCCTTTTTTGGTAGATCAGGCAATTCTCTTACAAGGAAAAGCCCCAGGAGCCTCCCAAAGGAGACCCTGTTGAACATTACTGAATTCCTTTCAGTCCGGGGCTTCACAGACCCTCCCCTTGGACCCCTGCAACTCTCTGGCTCTGAGGGACTGACCTCAGCCCAAGGACCACACCCTCACCTGGTCAAGTCGTGCTCCAGGGCAGGCCCACCCTCCCGATCTCGATTCCCAGCCATGACACGGCAGACCTCCCACCCGACTTGGGCGCCCCCCACTGCAGCACAGATCTTCAAGGAATCCGGTGACCCACCTCTGTCCAAGAGGACAAGAGGACAAGAGGGACAAGAATCTGCTCCCTCCACAACTATCCAAATTCCCCCCATCCAGGGCTCTCCAGCCCGAGTCCGGAGACCCGACCCCACGCCACCCCACCCCCGCGCCCCGAGGTTAAATCCCTTCAGCCTGGCCCGCATTCCCCTACCCAGGTCGCATCCTACACTTCAGATTCTGAGATCCTAAGCCCCGATCCCTTCCCAGCGGCCCGAATTCTCCAGAAGCATCCCGACGCCGCGCGCCCCGCGGCCCGCGACTCACCTCGCCCAAGGCGGCCTGGGACTGGCGGACGCGCGGGGCGGCGCAGGCAGCGCGGCGGGCAGCCCCGGGCTCCTGAGGTCCCCAAACGATGGCGGCGATGGCGGTGGCGCTGAGGGGCCCCGGAGGGCGCTTCCGGTGGCGACCGCGGGTCTTGGCGGGCGGGGTACGGGGCGCGGCAGGTAGGGGGGGGCTGGGGGCGGTGGAGGTCCCCGTGGGGGTGACCACGTGGCCGAGGGCCGGGTGTCCACGTGGGAGGTGGTGTCTCCGCGGGGGGGCTATAGGGAAGCGGTGTCAGTGCAGGGGCGTCCACGTGGGGGGTGCCCGCGCGAAGGTGGGGGTGGCGCTGGGGGCTGGGTATGGGTGCGGGTTTAGCTAAGTAGGGGTGGCAGAGCCCGAGCCGAGCTGGCTGATGACAACTGGGGTGTCCACGTGCCGCGAAGCTGCCCCAGTGGGAGGCATCAGCACACTCGCTTCTGGCCTGGTAGCCCTCGGGTCAGATGGGGAAACTTAGGCTGGGGGACGGGGTTGGGGGGGGGTTCTTGCTGGATTTACTTCTGTGCTGGCTGTGTCCCTAGTCTCCAGGAACTTGCTCCCACCAAGCCCAATATTAACCATAGCCCTAACCTTTTTTTGTCTTGTTTTTGTGGTATTGGGGTTTGAACTCAGGGCCTTCACCTTGAGCCACTCCACCAGCCCTTTTTGTGTTAGGTATTTTTCGAGGTAGAATCTCGCGCACTATTTGTCCAGGCTGGCTTCGAACCACAAGCCTTCTGATCTCTGCTTTCTGAGTAGCTAGGATTACAGGCGTGAGCCACCGACATCTGGCTAGCCCTAACTGTTTTTGCTATTTTGAGATATGGAGAGCTGTACAGAGAGATTCCTAGCATTGCTTCCATGCACAAGTGTGTTACAACTTACAACCCGAATTGATTCATCTCTACCTGACCTCTTCACTACTTCCCAGTCTCTCTGTTAAACAGAAGAGAGACAAGGATAAAGCACAGGCTTTATGCGGGCAAGAGAGCCTCTAGCAGAAGAGAGCCCTTTGTTGCTTGCAGTGTAGGGGTAGTTATAGGGGGAGCTGGTGAAAAACTACCAAGAAGGTCGCTGCGTGGGAAATTTTCTTGTAGGTCACTAAGGAATGCCGTTGCTGGGCAAGTAATAAAGATAAGCTGTGGTTAGGTCCTTGGTGTCCCAGGAGATAAAAGTTAACAACTGTCCCTTTGTCATTTTTTGGATGGGGAGTTTATAGTAAGCCACCTGCGAGGGGGAGGGGGTCTGGTGGTCCTAACATGGCTGCTCTTACTATTTACCCTAACACGAACTGGGATGGTGATCCAGTTACTGAGGTCACCAGACATCCCAGTGGTCAGACCTGGGCAATTCGACCTCTGCCCCCTAGAGGCTGCACCCAGCAAATATTTTTTATGTGCTCATGCAGGCAATAAATGAGGTGATTCCAGAAAACTTGTAGGCTCTGAGCAGGAAGGCATGTCAGGGTCTGTGAGTACCCTGGCACAGTTGACTGCCTGTGTAAATGGACAGAGCTCTTCTGGCACGGCCTTGGAGGCAGGGGTGGAGGGTGGCCCTGCAGAGCCTGGGAGGCAGTCACCACCTCTGTAGTGGAAACCTAGGGGACCTGAGGGACCTAGGGCTGTTCCTATATAGCTTTGCTGACCCCCTGGGACACTGGCCAGGGTACCCTGTCTTGTAGAGCCTCTTTGCTGCATGTGTTAGGTGAGGATACTTACGCAGATTTTGTGAAAATAAATAAATGAATGCACCTATGCCAGTGATGCCATCACCTGGTACATGGGAGCTGCTGCTGTGCCCACAAGCCCAGGGCCCTTCAAGGTGCAAGTAACCCCAGGCCTTGGGGCGGGGCATTTGTTTTCAGCTAGGCAGAAGGCACTGCTGCTTTGAGGGGTCTGTCCTGCAGCCAGGGAGCACTGGCTAGACTTTGCTGGAGAGCCAAGCCTACAGGGTCTGGAGAAGGTGCCAGTATCCCATCATGACACTGAAGTTTTGTCTCTCCATTTCAACCTCACATCCTTTTGGAGAAGGAAGACACCTGCCTTTTCCAGCGGGGGTTGGGGGGAGCACATAGAACTAGAATGAATACATCACCTCTCTCATAACATCTACTGATGTAGCTCTAGTTACATTGAACAGCTGCACAGGAGGCTCCCAGAGATGACGCCACTAGGTGGCCATCCCACCTATGGGTGCACATTGGCAGGAAGCCTTTGTACCCTTGTCAATGCCAGGAGTCATTTACTTGGTCCTCGCCACTCTCTTGGGCTCTTGCTCTTTGCTGGCTCTGTTCTAGGCACTGAATTCAGAAAGGAGCAGAAACTTAAAGGACAGTGTGGTCAGAAGTCAGAGGCGAGGTAAAGATATTCTGGGGCTGAGCCTGTGGGCAAGGAGGGTGGCCTGGCCAAAGTGAGTGAAGGGCAGGATGTGAGGGTCCCCCTGGGTAACACCTGCCACCCAGCCCCTCTGTAGAGCAGCACCTATCTCACCCATACTTGGGGTCCTTCCCCCAGCAGGCTACCCAAGCCGTCCCAAGTGGTTACAGGTAGATATTCTACACTTGCAAACTGCCATTCTGCTGACCCCTGCCAAGCATTTATCAGACAGAGAAGGCTCCTGGGTGTGCACAGAGTAGCCAAGATAAGCCCACAATCCACACAACTGGCCTGCCACCTGATAGCAGACAGAGGGCACAGTGCAGGGCTTCTGGGCACGACAACCCCATGGGGATCCCACTCTGGTGACAGGAAGGACAGGCATCTGCAATGGAAGGTAGGAACCTTTTCCATGACAAACATTTAGGGGCTCTCCCACCCTTATACCAAACATCAGGAGAAGAGAGAGATGGGTTCTGCCTAGCAGGCTGGTCCTTCCTGGGTCCCAATGGCAACTTCTTTTCCACCACCAGTTGTTCTTGGTTCTCTGGCATCATAATAAAGCCATTAGAATAATTTGCAACTGCTTAGACCTTTTCAGAGTCTTTGAGTTGAACTTGAAATTCTCTGCGCTTTGAACTGAGGAGTGACTCCATCAGGTCTCACATGCATACACATACACTTCTCAAATGACAGTTGCTGGATGGAGCCTTGAGTGGGTATAGTTGTGGGGCAGGCTGACCACAAGCCTTCCACCTCCTCTGGGCTCCAGCTCTGTGTGTCCCTGTAGGAGTGCAGGCTGGGGAACCTGAGGGATTTGGGAGCCCAGGCCTAGTCTCTGCAGCCTTGCTGGCTCAAGATAGCAAAGGTGGCTGCAAAGACAGGTGCAGCCTCCTCACAACATGCTAGGCTCTAATGCCCCAGCCTTAGATGGCAAATCTGCTTTGGTCACAAGAGCTGTGGACCTTGCTGGGAGCAGCGGCCAGCTCCAGATACCATGGAAGGATGGCGCTCGGGGCAAGCTCATGTCTGTAAAGAGGCTGAGATGCTACTTGTTTATACCCCAGATTCTCCCTCTTCATCCCCCTAGCACTCTCCTCCCCTCCCCTCCCTGTGCTCTTCTCCATCCCTTTTTTGTTCAGGCTAATGGTGAATAGTATTCCAGGTAGGGAACTTGAGCCTCTTCTCTCCCAGATCTCACCCAGACACTTGGTCAGGCTGGCCTACAATCTCTCTGTAATGCAGGGTCACTTTTACAACTATAAGGGCCACAGACTCAAGGCAAATGTTTTAGTTCTGTCTGGCTCAGAGCACGGTGAGGTATTAAGTTCTGAGAGACCTTGCAGGTATGTGGTGTGGGGAGATGGTGGCTTACAAAGGCTGCACACACTTGTAGCCAACCTCACCACACATTTCTGGATTTGTGTAGACACTGAGTGAAGCCTGCTGTGTGGTACTTATGCATCGTCACCTCTGACTGCCATAGGATGGGGGCCTCCATCCTGCTAAAGGAGATCCTGCACCATGTTCAAATAAGCAGAGGTCTTGTCCTTTGGAAATGATGGTGGTCCTTCCAGGTGTGGCTTTCTTCTCACCTCTAATTCCTTCCCCAGCAGGGCAACAGAACTATGATCTCTTGGTGATTGGTGGGGGATCCGGTGGCCTGGCTTGTGCCAAGGAAGGTAAGCATCTCATGTTCCGTGTCTGCTGGCATGGCCATGCCTCCAGACCTCAGGTCCCCCCATGAGAGTGACACTGTGGGAATGCACCTATGCATCCATAAGCTTGTCTGATGACTGGCAGCCTCCCCCTGTTTCCTATGCCCTGTAGCCATTGCGATGCTTTAACTCAGAGCTGCCTCACCATGGAGAATCCCCTAGACTTCACGGGATCTGATTCTACCCATCCACCTTGGCTTCCATCACTCATGCTTTCCTTGGCCTTGCTCTTCTGGACCTGCTTCTATCTCTGGCCTTACCACGGCTGCCTGCCCTGCCTGGTTTGTTATTTGCCTGCCAGGTTAGCTGTGGGGCTCACTCATCTCCCTCCACTTTGCTGTGCGACTGCCCTACTTAGAATTGCACCCTTCTGATGTCCAATCCCTGTAACCTGTTCCCTGGCTTTCCCTCAAAGACCAGGCTGGTACTGGATCTCAGCCTGGTACACAGATGGTGCTTGGTAAAGAGGTGCGGGGAGAGCAGGCTGGGTCCTAATGCATCCTGAGTTGTTACCTGTCATTTCACTGATAATCCAGTGGTGCTCAGATCACCAGTGCTCTGCACCCTTCTGTAGGGTTCCCTCCAGTCTCTTTGGCTCTTGCCCAAAGACTATAAGGGGGCAGACATGGTGAATGGGGAGGGGAGGAGATGTCAATGTTGTAGGGTCTAAATGAGAAGAAATTGACCATGAATTCTGGCCATGTAAGTGTGGTTTCTCTAACATCAGATACTGGGTTTTATGGTCACAGATGGTGTAAAGGAAACCCACTGTCCACTGTTCTTGCTCCAAGGGACTGGGTGGGGGGTGCCAATCTGTGGTGGGGGCATGAAGCTGGGAAGTCTTCTGACTGATTGGCTCCCACAGAGGGACAAGAGTCAGCATCCCACTGGAGCCTCAGAGCCTTTCGTGGAAATGGACAGCACAGATGTGGTGAATGGCCACTTACTTGTCCCAGTGATGTCCCTTTTAGCAGAACAAATGCTTAGACCATGTGTCCACTCCTGTGTAGTAGCACTAGGGATGAATGTCTTCCTTAATCTGGAATCCAGGCAGATCCTAGGTCTGGTTCATTTTTCATGAGAGTAGCATTGGTACAGCTCCATGTTTTGGTCTTGAGATGGGGTCTCACTGTGTTACCCCGGCTGGCCTTGAACTCCTGGTCTCAAGCGATCCTCCTACTTCAGCCTCTCAAGTAGCTGGGACTGTAGTCATACACCCGACTCTACTGCTTTTTTTTTTTTTTTTTTTCTGTAAAAAAGCTACAATTGTGCTGGGTGGGGATACATTGTAGCATTTACAAAGGTTCCTGCAGTGTATCAAAAACTGCACACCTGTGGTTCCCATCTATTCAAGAGGCTGAGGCAGAAGGATTGCTTGAGTCCAGGAGTTCAAGACTAGCCTGGGCAACAGAGCAAGACCCTGCCAGTGAATGAATGAATGTAATAAATGAATGGATAAAGTGCACAACTTGAAAATTTTGACCTGTAGGTATACCTGTGAAACCAGTACCACAATTAAAATGGCAAACGTGTCCTCACCCTCTAGTCTGCGTGGAGCCATTCAAAGCACCACAGGCTGGGCAGCTTAACCACAGATGTGCACTGTCTCTCTGTTCTGGATGCCTGAAATCCAAGGTCAAGCTTCAGCATGGTTGGTTTCTTCCCAGGCATCTTTCCTTACCTTGTACATGGCTGTCTTCTCCTGGTATCTTCACATCTTTTCCTTCTGTGTGTCTGTGTTCTAATCTCCGCCTTCTCATAGGACACCAGTCACGTTGGATTAAGACTCACCCTTGTGGGTGACTTCATGAATTTTGATGTACTGAGAGTTAAGACTCCAACATATGAATTTTGGAGGGACACAGTTCAGGTGATAACAACCCCCAGAGTTTCCTCAAACTTTGGTAATCCCTTCCTGTCTCCCCTTCCTCCTACATCCGCAAACACCCAGTGGTCTGCTTTCTGTCACTATAGACTAGCTTACATTTTCCAAAGTTTTATAAAAATGGATTCATGCTATATGTACTTTTTTCTCCTGGCTTCTTTCACTCAGGGTCATACTTTTGAGACTTACCCTGTTTGTTGCATGTGCGTGCACTTTCTTCCTGTCTGTTGCTGGGGGTGTTCCATTATGTGGATAGGCCATGTTTTGCTTATCATTCACCTGCACATGGACAGCTGAGTTGTTTTCAGTTTGTTTGTTTTTGTTTTTGGCAGTGCTGGGATTTGAACTCAGGGCCTACACCTTGAGCCATTCTACCAGCTCTTTTTTTATGATGGGTTTTTTGAAGATAGGGTCTCATGAACTATTTGCCCGGGCTGGCTTCGAGCCATGATCCTCCTGATCTCTGTTTCCTGAATAGCTAGGATTACAGGTGTAAGCCACTGGTGCCCAGCACAAAATATTTCATATTTTTGTAACAGTTTTTGAAATAAGTCATATACCATATAATCCACTCATTTAAAAAGCATTATTCAGTTTTTTAGTGTATCCATAGAATTGTGTAACTACAATTAATTTTAAAACATTTTCATCTCCCCTCAAAATACTCTATACCCAATTCCTCCTTTCCATGTCCCTGGCAATCATTAGTCTACTTCCTTATCTCCATGAATTTGTGGGTTCTGGGCATTTCATACAAATGGGATCATTTGCACTTCTTTCAGTTTCTGTTGTGTTCGTCCATAATACATCATATATCAGGACTTCATTTCTTTTTTGCGGTTGTATAATATTCCATTGCATGGACAGACCACATTTTGCCCATTTGTTAGGTGATGGGCATTGTGTTGTTCAATCCCACTCTTTGGCCATTTGTATATAAGTTTTTGTGTGGACATATGTTTTTGTTTCTTTTGAGTATTTACCTAGGAGTGAAGGAAGTTACCTGGTAACTGCCAGATCATATGGTAACTGTTTAACCTTTGAGGAAATGCCAGACTATTTTTTCAGATAGAGTCTCACTTTTTGCCTGGAGCTAGCCTCAGACTGCCCACCTGGATTTTCATTAGTCAGTTGAGTGAGGTGGGTTTTTAAGATGAACTCTTCTGAGACTTTGCTTCCTAATAGCCGCAAATGTTTCCTGTTCTGTAGTGCTTCCAACACTTACGGGTTTGTGATGTAGCAAATGTCCAGATGCTCTTGGAGGTGGTCAAGTCCAGGTTCCAGGGCCTGTCAATGCAGTGCCCAAGGGAAACCCTGTAATTGGCCCTAGCTAATGCTATTATAGTTGGCTTCAGAACCTGGGACTTGTGGCTCTGGGAGGCCCTACTGGTGGCTGGGAGGTCAGCTGGATGGCTACATGGAGGGAGTATGACTGGGTCCTGGCTCTCAGTGGGGCTGACTGACCTTGCACCTGCTGTTTCACTTGTTCCGAGCTTTAGTTTCTTCACTCTGAGAGGGAGGCAGCAGGTGCCCGCCTGAGGCTTCTGTTTAGGGCAGGCTCTGGGTGCAAGCCCAGGTATCCACCATTCATTCTCACTGGTTGGGAGAAGAGGTGGGCCGATGAGAAAGGCCTGGGCTTCCTAGGATTCAGCAAGAGGCCAACAGGCCTTTTTCTGAAGTGTGCTGCTCCTGGAATACCTCCTCCATACTTGGGCTGGGCACTGGGCTCCAGTTTGACATCTAGGCCTGGAATTGGCTGGGAGCAGGAGCTGAGGGAGGATTGGTCCCAGCACTGCCATGGTAGGTGGCATGAAGGTTACAGTCTGAGAAGAGGCCTGAGGGTTCCTGCCTGTGGGTAGCACAGCTGGGCATATAGTGGGAAGACCAGGAGTCCAGGTGCAGAGCTGGTGGGTAGTGTGACCTTATGGACCAGGGTGCCAGGATCAATGGGAAGTTTCTAGCATTGTCCCCTCAGCCACTTCACAGGCAGCTGCTCACCTAGACCTTTCCCCACTTCCTTCTGGGCCTTATGGGCCGCGGGAGGTCCTCTTCCCCAGCCCCAGGCCAGCTCCCCTGCTGCTCTCACCTGCAGATCTTGTCTTTCCAGCCGCTCAGCTGGGGAAGAAGGTAGCCGTGGTTGACTATGTGGAGGCTTCTCCCCGAGGTAGGTAGCCCCACAGGGAGCTGTGTCCTGGGGAAGGGGTGGGGAGGCGGGACCCAGTTCATGCACCAGAAGGTGGTTGACACCAAAGTCATTCATTCTCTTCTGTTCACAGTCTCCAGACCGTCCTATTTTATGCATAAGCTATCATTACTGTAAAGTTCTTTATTCACATTTCTTAACACTTTTTTTTTTTCCTTTCACTGTCCTGGGGTTTGAACTCAGGGTCTCATGTATGCTAGGCAGGTGTGCTGGTCTTTTCTTTTCTGATGCTGGGGATCAAACCCAGGCCCTTGTGCTTGCTAGGCAAATGTCTACCACTGAGCTACATCTCAGCCCCATTTACTTTTTTTAAAGCAACTCTAATGCAGTTTGTAGAGAAACTGTAACTGTTGTTACAAAACAACAACCACTTAAAGGGGTTCTGAATACTACAGAAGAACAGGGAGCTTCCTGTGTTCCCAAGTGTAAACTCAAATGTGCTTTTCTCAGGACTAGGGGTACAGCTCAGTGGCAGAGCAAGGCCCTGAGCAAGTTCTGAAAAAAAAAAATTCTCTTTCTGACATTTCAGGCACCAAGTGGGGCCTTGGTGGCACCTGTGTCAATGTGGGCTGTATCCCTAAGAAGCTGATGCATCAGGCTGCACTGCTGGGGGGCATGATCCGAGATGCCCCCCACTATGGCTGGGAGATTGCTCAGCCCATCCAGCACGACTGGTGAGGAGCCCACACTGTAGGTTCCCCATTCTTTTCTGCTTGGGGAGATTCATTCTCCACTGACCATCTTGGGGAGCAGCAATAGGACAGGGACTCTCACCAGAGAACAGATATTGCCAGATATTTGGCAATGTTTGATTGTCAACTTTTGGTTGTGGCTGGGTGGAGGAAGGGTTTGCTACATCTCCTGGGTAGAGCCCAGGCTCGCTGCTGAAGTTCTGCAGTATACAGGATAGCTCTGCCAAGAGCAGTCCAGTCCCCAAGGCTAGTAGTGTGGGGCAGGAAACTGCTTTAGTTAAGCCATTTGGGAAGGTGGCCTGCTGCAGAGCTGCTCACTGGATGGTTGTGCCCCAAAGCCTTCATTTTCAAAGTGCAAAGGTCGACAGCCCCAAACCCTGGTCAGTGGTAGCAGCCACCCACAGGAATGGGCACCAGGGTATAGCATTTTTTTTTTTCCCTGGGGCACTAGGGTTGAACTCAGGGTCTCACGCACTTGCTTGGCAGGTGTTCTTACCACTCAAGCCACTCCACTAGCCCAGGGTGTAGCCCTTTAAGCCCACCTCCATTTCTCCATATTTCTGTGTCTATAGTCATAACAGCTGACACTTGTTATGGGTTTTACATTGCATGTGTCAACAGGAAGAAAATGGCAGAAGCTGTGCAAAACTATGTGAAGTCCTTGAACTGGGGACACCGCGTCCAACTGCAGGACAGGTACTGAGGCTCCACCAGGCATCAGTGGCTGTACAATGTGGCCTTCAGGGGTCAGGCCACCGTCCTGGCCTTCTTAAGGTCATTTCATACCTGGACAAGTGTTTACTGGTCCTCTGTGGAGAGCATACCCCGATAGCTCTTGGGGCACAGTAGCACTAACATAAGGGGGTCCCTGCACCTGGGTAGGGACACAGACCCAGTAGATAAGGCAACTGCTGGGGGAAGTGGGAGACACTCTGAAGGCCTGGAGTTGAGCAAAGCAGCGAGGAGTGAAGAAGGGACATGGTGACTGAACAGCCATTGCTGGCAGTAGTGGGGAGGCCATGAGAGGCCAGCCCAGTGGCAGGCTCCTTCCCCTAGCAGACACTGTTCTTGCACCACAGTGAGCCCCAAGTCTGGCAGCAAAGAGGAGCCTCGCACACCATCTTCCAGCCCCACACCTGCAGGTTCCTACACCCTTAGCTCCACCCCTCACTGCATACTGTGACCTGCACACTTCCTAGGCAAGAAGAAAGGGGCCTGGTGTTTCCTGCTGTAACAAATGTCCTTGCCTACCCCTCCAGCCTGGGGTTACCATTCCTGTCGCTGTGGGTATCCCCAGGCCAGGTCCTGGCCCTTCCCCATCTGACACCTCTTCTTGAAGATCCACACCCACCTCAGACCCAGTTTTGCTTTGGGCTGTAGCCCTTCCTGTGCCCATGTGGAGACATGAGAGGTCTCTCACCTGGGGCACTCTTTGTTTGGTTCTCAGGGCTCTTCCTGGGCCTCCACACTGGGCAGCAGCCTTATGCCTATTCAAAACAGGAAAGCCAGCCACCCCGCCCCTACCTGGGCTTCACCAGCTGGTTCCCAACCAGATGCTAAGTCACATTGTGAAGTAGAGTTTTTGTGTCTTCTGTGTGGGGTTCCATACACCCAAATTTGGTTTGCTGGAGGCAGTGGACTCTGCCATCTTTGTCCCCAGCCCTAGGCAGCTCTCAGGCAGGTACCAAGCAGTCCCAATTCCAGGCCAGCTCCACAGACACCACAGAGGGAGGCCAGCAGGGTTGTTTCCACTTTTCCTTATTATGAATGGTGCTGAACGAACATTATGTATCTATGTCAGGTCTGCTTCCTGGTTGACAAGGTGAGTGAAGGACACCTGTGCATGTCAGCTCAGGCTGTGCAGGCACTTGTGCAGGTTAGAGAGGCGAGGGGTGTGGAGGTGGAGGGAACGCAAGTGTGGGGAGGCAAAGCCTTCCCAGAACCGCTGCGGACCCACAGCTGCCATGTGGTCTTTATAATTAATGTGAGTCATTTTTGCACACCACACCACACACTTGACCGCTGCTGTGCCCCACCAGACTCACTGTGCCCCTAAAGGCAGAGAGTGACAACTACATGGTGGGCACTCAGCTCCCTGCTAAAACATACCCAGGTGATAGCGGGCCCCTGGGGGAGGGCCACCCCCTTTATTGCCCAGCAGGGCTTGTACATGGGCTCTTAGTGTGATGCCAAGCTGGTCTCTGTTCCTGTCTTGACCCCTGTAATCATTATTTCTCAGAGAACTGAGGGTCTGGACAAGGTGCCCCTTCCTCCCCTCCTGCCATCCTTTGTGGCTTCCTGTTTACCTCCTGCCCCTCCTGAGCTCAGGCATTGGGCCCTGGCCTGGAGCTCACTTTTTTTTTTTTCCCCTTCCTTGTTTTCTTTTTTGCAGTGCTGGGGATAGAACCCAGGCCTTTCCACATGCTATGCCAGCACTGTATCACTGGGCTACCTTCCCAGTCCCCCAGTCTTGCTCACTTTTTAGCAGTCTGTGCAGGGGTGTCTGTCTAACCTGAGTACCAAGGTTTAATTTGCAGAGGAAGTATTTAAGAAAATGTTATTTTTATGTTGCAGAAAAGTCAAGTACTTTAACATCAAAGCCAGTTTTGTCAACAAGCACACTGTTTGCGGTGTCACAAAAGGTGGGAAGGAGGTGAGTGCCTGCTTCGGTCACCCCTGTGGCTCCTCTTAGACCATGGGCACTGACTCCTTGTTTGGCCTGGATGTTATTCTAGTAATATGCACTGCTGGATTTAGACAGACAGCTTCCTTTGAGGTCACACTTCTTCAAAACGAATAAACAAAGCCAGTGTGGTGGATGACACATGTAGTCCCAGCTATTTGGGACATGTTCCAAGGCTGGCCCTATCTGAGACCTATCTGAAAAACAAACTGAAAGCAAAACAGCTCGGGGGTGGCTCAAGTGGTAGAGCTCTTGCCTAGCAAATAAGAGGCCCTGAATTCAATCCCTAGTACTTTCAAAAAAAAAAAAAAGATTAAACTGAGCTTGGGGTGGCTCAGTGGTAAGAGTGCTTGCCTAGCATGCCTGAGGCCTGGGGTTTGAGCTCCAGCTCTACCAAAAAACCAAAAACTTATTAATTGGATAGCTTGCATGGGCTGCACATCCTCCAGGGTGCTGTCCAGCTGGGGATTATAGCCTGACAGGGAGGGCGATCACACCCTTTTTGTTTTGTGGGGAGAAACACTGTGAAGTACTTGGAGTTGGACCATTTCCCTGTTCCTCTGCCTTCCCTTGTCCCGTCTGGCCCCTAAATGGGATCTTTGCTCTGTGGGACTCTGTGCGGCCGACAAGGTGTCCACCCTCCAGGGTAGGCACGGCACTTAACTGTAGGCATTGGAGCCCCTCAGATGGGTGACCATAGTGTGCTGTTTGACCCACGGCTTTCTCTGTCTATTCACAGACCCTGCTTTCAGCTGACCACATTGTCATCGCCACGGGAGGGCGGCCGAGGTACCCCACACATGTGAGTGTCTCCAAAGCTCAGCCTTCTCCCTCCACTCCATCCACCTGCCCCCATGTGTCATGGCCTCTGGGCTCACTGTGTGCTCTCATGATTCCCACAGCAGAGCCCTCCCGTTTCCTCTGAACTCACCATCGTCCTTTCTCCTTTCCATGTCTCCTGCTGATACAGGAGCGCTCCAGTGACCTCCACAATGCTAAACCCTCAGAACCACTTTCATTGCACTCTTTAGCTGGCTCCTGGGGTGCCACTGGGCCTGCTCCCCTTTTGCCCCAGTGTCCTCCATCACCCCTCTCAGTCCCCCTTCCCCTTATCCTTCTCTCCCTTCTCCTCCTCCCCTTTCCCTTTCCTTCTCTTCTTTTTTTTTTTTTTTATTATTCATATGTGCATACAAGGCTTGGGTCATTTCTCCCCCCTGCCCCCACCCCCTCCCTTACCACCCACTCCACCCCCTCCCTCTACCCCCCACCCCCTCAATACCCAGCAGAAACTATTTTGCCCTTATTTCTAATTTTGTTGTAGAGAGAGTATAAGCCTTCTCTTCTTTTAAAAACATGGGGTCTCACTGTGTTACCCAGACTTGTCCCAATCTCCTGGGTTCAAGTGACTCCTGTTTCACCCTCCCAAGTAGTTGGGACTACAGGTGTACTGTACTACATCTGACCCTAGTGGTTTTTTTTTTTTTTTTGTCTTTTCTTTTTTGGTACTGGGGTCGAACCCAGGGCCTCACGCATGCTAGGCAAGCGCTGTACCACCGAGCTACATCCCAGCCCTCTAGTGGGTTTTTTTGAGATGGGGTCTCATGAACTGTTTGACCAGGCTGGCTTCGAACTGTGATCCTCCTGATCTGTGCCTCCTGAGTAGCTGGGATTACAGGCGTGAGCCACCAGCATCTGACCTAAGTCTCCATTGTTGGCTCCTGTTCTCTACAACATTAACATGTTAGGATACCCAGGGCTTAAGCTTCTTCGTCTTTCTCTCCTCTCCTCTTTTTAAGATTTTGAAATAAAATTCATATACCGTATAATTCACCTTTTTATTAGTCACAATTTAATAGGTCTTAGTACATTCGCTGAGTTGTGCAACCATCCATCACTAACCATCCACCTCCAGGACCTTTTCATCATCACAAATTGATACTCTATACCCATCAAACAATAGCTCTCCACCCTCTCCCCTCCAAGACCCTGGCACCCACCATTTTACTTTCTGTCTCTGTAAATTCGATTATTTTAGGTACCTCATATAAGTGAAATCATGCAGTATTTGTCTCTTGGTAACTGGTTTATTTTATTCAATATAATATTCTCAAGCTTCATCTAAGTTGTAGCATGTGTCAGAATTTCCTTCCTTTTCAAGGTTGAATAATATTCTGCTGTATGGATATGCATTTTGTATACTCACTGTACTTTAATAAATACCTGAATTATTCCCCTTTTTTAGCTGTTATGAACTGTGCTCCTGTGAACATCCATGTAAAATATTTTATTTATTTATTTTTATGTGTGTGTATGTGTACTTAGTTTTGACTTCCCTTGGGTATTAAGAGTGGAATTTGGATCATATGATTACTGTTTAATCTTTTGAAGGTACTACCAGACTGTTTTTCAATATGGCTGCACCATTATAGTTCCTTCAGCAGTGTATAAAGGTCACAGTTTCACACTTTTTGTTGAAAACAGAACATTTCAAATTACTTAATGTGGTAACTTTGGAAATTGGAGTGTCCCTCCTCCCCACCCTACCCCACCCCACCCTCAGGATTTTGTTGTTGTTCCTGTTTGCTTGGTGACTTCTCTGAACTAGTTTTGTAAAGTATTTTTTGTTATATGTGGCCACTGAAGTCCTCTTGGTTATCTTAATAGTCATCTAAGGACTAGAAAGAGATTTCCTTAAACCTCTGGAACCACGCACTCTCCCATCTGTGTGCATCTGTAGGGTGCCTTCAGCACTCAACCAGGCAGTAAATAACTCTGCATTAGCCTTCACTTCTTGCTGGAGTAGAGATCGAGGCCAGCTTGAGGTAAGAGCTCAGCAATTCTAGGTTACTGGGCATATTTTAGGGCTTTTCAAAGCCCCTGTGGAGATCTCATTCCTAGTTGGTTTTTTTTTTTTTTGTGATGGCACCAGGTTTTGAACTCAGGGCTTCCTGCTTGGTAGACAGGTGGTTTTACTGCTTGAGACATCCTGCCAGCCCTTTTTTGTGATTTTTTTTTTTTTTTCCAAGATAGGCTTTCCCAAACCAGTTGCTTAGGGCTGACTTTGAACCGTGATCCTCTTGATCTCTGTCTCCTGAGTAGCTAGGATTACAGGCATGAGCCACTGGTGCAGGCACAAGGGCTCATTCTTGTTTTTAATTCTGAGTGATTAGGTTTACTTCTTGTTTGCCTCACCTCAGGCAACCATTAAGTTAAAACATCGGACAGATACTCCAGGGAGAGGCTTTCAGTATCGAGCAAGCTGGAGTGAGGTGAGGAACCACCAGCTGGGTCAAATGCTGACTGTTCCTTGGTCAGGAGGCCTTGAAAGGCCCCCAGCTCTGTCTTGCTATCTCTGGTGCTATCATTTTTCAAGGCTTCCCCTGAGCTGGGGCAACAGACCAGAGTCAGTTCAACTCTCCCCGCAACACTGCAGCTCTTACTGAGTCCAGCTGTTTTTCTTGACTCAGTATACCCTGTGTTGCTGAGAGCTTTTGGTTAATTTCCAGAGTTCTGAAAAAAGTTGAATCTGAGCATTCTTGTCAGTTTTTTCTCTACTTTTATGGAAGGGTGAATTTTGGGAGGTCTTTACCCCTTTCTCTTACATCACTTCCTGACCCAGCCCTGTGAGCTCTGGGGGCTTCTCTGCCTTCCCACTCATTGGAAAAGGTCCCACAGTGAGCTGGCGTGAGAGTCAGACAGCCACTGCAGGGAAAGTAAGAAATAGTATCAGAGGGATTTGGCTGAAGCCACATTTTGGTGGGTCTCCCAGAGAACGAAGTGTCACCAGTCCTGAGCCTCCATGTGGGCTGCAGCCAAGCCCTCAGGTCTAACAGATCTAGGGAGGGGGCACACCAGCCTTAGAGGCTTGGATCCAGGTGGAGTGTGGATGGAAGAAGAGCAAGGAATGGTCCTGTTCCTTTTAAGATGGGAACAGAGACAGACATATCCCCAACCCTCACTCCCATTTTGTGCTTGCTCTGGAAATGGGGAAGAGAGGATCAGAAGAATGAGAGCAGTTCCAGTCCTGAGGGCCATGGACCACTCTTGCCAAGCCAGTGAGAACAGCCTTCAGATGGGCCCTGGCTGCACAGAGGTGGCACCCGGGCAGGCTGCCTGGCTCTGTAGGATGACACAGTGCCATCATTCAAGGTAGCTACAACAGACAAGGTTGAAGTGATCCCCTCACCTCACAGATGGGCTCCTGGTGGTTCCACATAAAGCCTCTGAATGCCACGGTCAGTTTCCAGGAGGCCAGTGGTTACTTCAGGTCTTTAGAGACACTGGGCAGAGCTACACATGTACCTACACCATGGCACCTTGCAGAGGGTCCCTGGCCCACTTTACCTTGCTGTATCTGGTGTAGTGTACATGGCAGCTGCTTGTGTCTCCATTTGCCCATGGGGTGGGGGTGGGGGGTGGAAGCAGAACATCCAGGTCCTGGGGAAGGCAGCTCGGTGGCCATCCAGGTCTGCCACCCCATCCTTACTGTACTCTCCCTGGGTGCCTGCCAAGAATTGCATGTGTTTTAGTCCCTTTGGTTTTTAGACCTTCTGGTTTTCCTTGAGCAAAGTGGAGAAATTCCTGACTTTATTTTTTTTGCCAAATGGAATCATAAACTGTTTGGGTTTCATTTCCTCTCCACCAACACATCTTATTCTCACAAGCTAGCTGCTTAGCCACCCCCCGTCTGGGCATCTGTGCGATTCTGGGGCACATAGTCCACCCCTGACTGGCCTTGGGGGGGTGCCTGGTCCATCCAGCCTGTAGTCTGGTGTCCTTGGAGCCATTTGCCCCTCCTCAGTCTGCAGTGCTGACACCCTGCTTCTCTGCTCCTCCCTGGCCCTGGTAACTGGGAGTCTACAGAGCTCTCAAGGCCTAATTTTCTGACCCTTCTTCACCCACTTTTCTGAGTCTGGACCCTTTGGGCCCTGGGTGCTGCTCCCTTGGTCTGCATGCCCATCTCCTCCCTTCCTGGGTACCCGGAAAGTCACAGGGGACCAGCTTTCTGTTTGTGTGGCTCTGGCATTTGCCATGCCCACCTCAGGCCCTGTGCCCCAGATCTGCATCAGGGTCAAGGGGCAGGTCGCAGAGAGGAAAGAGCCGCCACTGCACCTGCCTTTGGGGGGGTGGGGGTTTGCCAAGGAACATAGAGTTACATATAGACAGGTCATCTTCTGTCTCCAAAGAAGCTGCAACCTAAAGTGACGTACATAGGGTAGGGAAGTGCTCTGCTCGCATAGGCTGAGGGGGTTGAGTTGTTTCTTGCAAAACAGGCTTCATCTTTGAAGTCCTTGGTACAGACCAAATAACAGACTTGTCACATTGAGCCTCTTTTCCCTGATAGATCGAAGGTGCCTTGGAATATGGAATTACAAGTGATGACCTCTTCTGGCTGAAAGAATCCCCTGGAAAAACGTAAGGCCTGGTGTGTGCAAAGTGGGTGTCCTTTACGCTGCTGGTGGGAGCATCAGGGCCATTAGAGCAGGTGATGATACACAGGTCAAGATGCATTCCTCCCAGTTTCTCTAAAAGAGGGAAAGAAGGCCCATTATGTGAGCCCCTCTGTGAGGCTCTCGACTGCCTTGGAAGTGATAACATGAATGTCACGTAAAGTGAGTCAGCCATTTATAATCTAGGTCAGTGGTTGTCCAGCAGGGCTCCCTACAGCCCCAGGGTTTCAGCAGGTCTGCTTGGGGACATCAGGCAGGCCCTTAGTCAGACATCTCCACTGTCATTGTCTAGGTACATTGGGCTTCCCTGAAACCCAGCAAAGGCTCCAGAAGCCTCAGAAACCACAGTGCTGTGTGGAGGTGAGCCCAGCAATGTGTGAGTGGCACAAGTACGCTAAGGGTATCCTGGTGTTCACAGATAAGGACCGGATCAGCCCGCACAGGCAGTACCTTACTGATGTGGGGTGTAGGGGGGACTTCCTGCTTGCAGGGACCATAGAGGCCACCAGAGGGCAGCAGAGGCTTGGTTGATAAACAGTACTGAGGCATCTGTGGATTTACCCACGAGGAAGTACTGGTGAAAAAGTGCTCCAGAGGTGTGCACGTGTGTATGTATGTGCACAGGCTCACCTATGTACGCATGCAAATGTGTGCATGGATGCAGGTGTATGTGTGTGCATGTCTGAATATGCACTGGGCTTATTTCAGCGAGCATAATGTCCTCAAGTTTTCTCCACATTGAAGCATATGTCAGAATTTCCTTCCTCTTTAAAACTGAATAATATTACAGGCTGAATAATGTGTTTGTATATATCACATTTTGTTTATCCAGTAGTCCATCGATGGCTCTTGGGTTGCTTTCACCTCTGAGCTAGTGTGAATAATACTGCTGTGAAGATGGCTGAACAAGTGTCTACTTGAGTTTCTGCTTTCCATTCTTTTGGATTGTATGCCCACCTATGCTAATGCTACACTTAACATTTTTGTGTGTGGTACTGGGGTTTGAACTCGGCCTCACGCTTGCTAGGCAGGTGCTCTACCACTCAAGCCACTTCCCCAGCCCGTACTGAGTTTTTTGAGATGGGGTTTCATGAACTATTTCCCCGGGCTGGCTTCACACCACATCCTCCTGATCTCTGCCTCCTAAGTAGCTAGGATTACAGGCGTGAGCCACTGGTGCCCAGCTATGTTTAACTTTTGAGAGACTACAAGCCATTTTCCAAAGCAGCTTCAGCATCTGGCATTCCTACCAGTGGTGCACCAGGGATCCTGAATCTCCACATCCTCACAGTACTTGCTATTCTCTGGTCCTGATGGAGTGAAGTGGTCTTATATACACTTCTTGGGGTCTTTCCCAGCAGGAGAAAAGCCAGGTCCAAGGTTCGGTGCTTTTCAACCTCAACACATTTTGCTAGTAGGCTAGCTGGACTCTGTCCTGTGTGCATTTCTTTCTGCTTCTCCTTTTCACCCTATAATTTGGGTGTCAGCTTTTTTAAAAAAAAAACATATATATATATATATATATATATATATGTATGACATAAAGTGGGAAAGGGAGGCCAGGTTTCCTATTGTCTGTGGCACATGCAGGCCCCTCCCTGAGACTGCAGTCAAGTTCATGCCAGTTGTAACTGCCTGCCCACTGACTTCCACCCGATCACCAGATTATGGTTTGTCTTTTGACTTGATTTTTTTTCTCCAAACTTTATTTTTATTTTATTTATTTATTTTTTTACAGTCATGACATTATTTTTTCTCCTATGCCACAATTTCTATTATCTGGGGTTTTTTGTTTGTTTATTTTGTTTTGTTTTGTGGTACTAGGGATTGAACCCAGGACCTTGCACGAGCTAGGCAAGTGCTTTATCAGTGAGCTACATCCTTAGCCTCTTACCTGTTTTTTATCTTCGTCTATCTGCTAGATTAAACATGATCTGATTTTGTCGGTTTGCTACGATCAGCCATCTTTTCATGTGTTTGCGAGCCTTTTTTGAAACTGCGAGTTTATCTGTGAGCCTATGAACGTGCAGAGTAATAATCCACATGGTCCTTGGCTTGCTTTCTGTCTGACTGGTTTTCTTCCTTCTCTTATCTCTGTCTTATCTTCCAGCTGGCTTTCATATTAGGGAGGGAATCCCTTGTCATACACCATGCAGATTTTCTCAGCTTTTCATGTCTTTTAACTTGTGCAATGTACAAACGATTTTCTTTCTTCCTTTTTTTTTTTGGATGTAACTTAAATCTCTTTTTACACTTAATGGCTTTTAGATTTATTACATGTTCAGAAAGGCCTGCCCCACCTCCAAATTGTTTTTTTTTCTTCTTCTTCTTTTAAAAGTCCCTATATTTTCCTGCAGGGCTACCACTGGCTAGATTTTCTTTTATATCCTATATCTGGTTCCCACATCTGTGGAGACCAGTTTCCTGGGTGCTCGCATTGGCTGCCCCTGGTGTGCCCATCTGAGCTCTGTTCTCTTCAGGGGCCTGATTGCTACTGCCACTGGGGCCACTGGGACTGCTCGATTTTCAAATCTTCTTGGTTTTCTTTCACACTGATTTCTTGTGGTGGAATTTGGACATGTTTTCCTACCTTTCCATAATGCTTTATGTGCTTGGACCTACCATGAAGCAACCTGGAACTTGCAGTGGCCCAAGAGGCTGGCCCTTGCCTAGCAACCAGACTGAGGCCTCCCCTGGGCTCAGGGCATTGTCTTGACCTGTTACCGAAAGCCAGCCTTTTCTGAGTCCTGGCCACACATACCTCTGGGAGGAGACAGCACTGTAGGGTGTACATAGTGGTACAGCCCAGCAAGGACCTGTCTCCAGCAAGGTGGCCCAGCTTGGGGACCTTTCCTTTGTGACTGTGTGCTGGAGGAGGGGGCAGCTAGCTCAGCTGGGAAGACATAGCCCCAGATATTTTGGTCAGGAAAGAAACTGCAGTGTTTATTTTTTTCACAGGAAAAAAAACATTTAGAAGATTTTTTTTTTTTTAAAAACTCTTTCGTTTAGAAGGAATCTAGGTATGTTATTGTTTAAGAAAAAAAGTGTTTGCAATGTATCAGTCACCCGTTTCATTCTGAGCATGATTTATGTGAGGAAATGGTTTTTTTTAAAAAATTAAGCTGGAGATACATCCCTGTACGATGCTTCTGTGAAAATGCAGCTTTTGTCCAGCGCTGTTAATGCAAGTTGTAACAGTGTAATATGGGAGTCAGTGTTTACATGTTACATTCCTCTGCTGCAGTCAAAATAAGCCCTCAGGGTCTACAGTAGCATTTCTGTATTTTATCAGCTTGGGCTGGGGCTGAGGGGGAGGCCTCTGCTCACACTTGGAGGGGCTGTTTCTGCCAGATTTATTTGCCTTATAAATATTCCGTGTGTTTATTTTAACTCGCCTTTAAAATGGAGCTGAAATTAATATGGACCCCAGAGCCGCCCCTCTGGCCCCCGAGTGCCTCCTGGAGCCGGGTGGGGACGTTTTGAGTTGGCGTCATCCAGGAGGCCAAATCAGAGGCCAAGGGGTGCCCAGCGTCCCTGGACATTTGTCTGCAGTGGGCACTGTTGTCTACTGGCTGGCAACTCTGCTGAGGAGGAGCCATATCGGCCACATCTCCCAGGTCTCTGGTGGGCTCTGCAGTGTGCATAAAGGCCTCTTTCCCTCCCACTCCTAGTACGGGCACAGGCGACAGCTAGGACCTTCTCTGTGGTTCATCTGCATGAAATTCATGGGATGGTGGCTTCAGGTCACTCATGAAGAGAGTTGAGTGCACAGTGCAACCCTGTGGCCCCTCGGGGCTGTTTCATACTTCCTTTGCCCCCAAGTATCACATGATGCACCCCTGTCCTCCTTGGCTGGCATATGGGTCCTAGGGAGCACAGGGCTGGCCAGATGGCGGAGATGGGACAATCATGCCTGAGTCCTGTCCAAAGGAGACACAACTAAGCCATACCCTTCACTCAACAGCTAGATACCAGCAAAATGCGGCCATATTTGTTGGCTAGAATGGGCTAAGTACCTGGGCCAGAGCCTGTGAAGTAACCAACCCTGTGTAGAGAACCCCTGAAAGGCAGCATGAGTTTGCAGTAGGGGGGGACCCTCAGACCTGGTGAGCTTAGGGGCTGTCCTGGCTGCCCATACACTAGCACCACACCGGGGAGGTAGGGGCTGTCCTTCCTTGGAGGGGCTGAGGGTGGCCAGTAGGGAACCCTGGGTGAGACTGCATGTCGGCACCTACTCAGCTTCGGCCACTCCGACACCAGCTTTTGCGCAGCTTGATTCTCTTTTTTTCCTCCCCGGTAATAGGGATTGAACCTAGGGCCTCACATGTGACCGACAAGTACTCTGTCACTTGAACCATTCTCCCAGCCTTTTTGTTTTGTATTGTTTTTTACAGGGATTCACAGTCATTTTATTTCAGACCCGGCCTTTGCTTCCCTGGCAAGCCGAGCAGTGCATTTGCCAGGCTCACTGAGTCTGGAGGTCAGAGCCAGGCCCAGGCTGGCCTCAAACTCACAATCCTCCTGTTTCCACTTCCTGAGTAACTGGGAAGAAGTGAGGAGGATACTGGGGGAGGATCAGGGTCTTTTGGGCACACAGCGGGAGCCCCATCAGGAGGACCTGTCCATTGCCAGTGGGGAATGTGGCCCCGCATGGCTAAGTCATTCCATTGTACAGAGCAGTGGAGGGAAGGCAGAAGGTGAAAAAGGTAAACTTACTTCATAATGCTTCTTTAAGAAGGCAGGCATTGGAGTTAGAATTCAAGTGCAGCCAAGAACCCGTAGCCCAGAGGGGGCCTGATGACTAAGGAGGAGCCAGAACGCTGAGCTCTCTCTCCAATTCCTGCAACCTATGCCATCTTCCCATCTGCTCCCCCACCTGGAAGGCAGGCCCACCATGAAGCCTGGTCCTCAGGCTTGGCTACTTAGCTTGCTAGGCCCAGCATCCCCCATCTCTGCCTCCTGCACTTCCAGAGTGTTGGCTCTGCCTTTTCTCTCAGTAGCAGCTTTCAGGACTCAGATATCCTAACCCCCAAATGGGGACTCACCGTCATTCTATTCTAGAACCCTCTTGCCTACCTGACAAGCTGAGCAATACATTTGCCAGGCTCAGTGTATCTGGAGGTCAGAGCCAGGCCTTGAGCTGGCAGAAAAGGGATGGATGAGGACTGGGATGAGTTGGCAGCTCTTTCCCACACTGGACCTCAGAAGGTCCAGTAACTAAGCTGCTATTTCCACGTAATGACCACGACCTACTTGTTCTGACTGTCTATTGGAGTTGCCCCTGCCCAGGTCCCTGGGAGGCTGCCTGACTTACACACTGGCTGGGGCCTGATTCCCAGACTATAAAGCCCCCTGTCTACCCGCTATTTGTGGCTAACACATTACAGGGCCAGGTCCTTTGCGGCATCCATTACCCAGAAGTTGGCTAGCACAGGCTCAGTGTAAGGCCCTGAGGGTTGGATGTAGCTGGCAGATCCCAGGCAAGCCTGGAGCCAGCCCCCACTGGGATAGAAGCTTTGGGGGCATTCTCAGCTCTGTAGCCTGGCTGGTATTTCCTGTGCTGGCAGGACTGCCAGGGAGCCAGGTGCTCCTGTGAGACATTGTGTAGGTGTGCCTCCTGGAGTAGGGATCAGGGGCCTTCAAGCTGGAGAGGCAGATGGAGGGCTGTGCTTTAATGCCTTTGTTTCTGCTTCCTCCCCCATTCTGATTGTGAACAAGCACGTCTGCACTGTTATTAGGCTAATCTCATGGTACTTCTTCCTTTGTGGAAAGTGTTGGCATGCCAAAAGGCACGGAATGGGGCTGCCCAGGACACGTGCAGAATTGGATTCAAGGCTCACAGGGTGTAGGATGGTGACTTCTGGCATGGGGGACAGATACCCTGGTCTCAAGGTCTTTTAATGTAGTGATAAGTCCAGGGATTCCAGTCCCTTCTTCCCACACCTGCTGAGCTGGTGCCTTGACTTCTGACAGTACCATCACCCCCCCATGGCTGGTCATGGCTGGGCTGGGTCACTGCACCCCTGTAACTGGTCCCGGCCCCACTGGTCCTCATCTATCCCTGGCCATGTTCAAGCCACTATGGGAACCTGTCCACTGCCAGTGGACATGGCCTAGACATGGCCAGTAGAAGCCAACCTATCTTCTGGAACACTCTGAATTTGAGGATCTGGAAGCTTTGGCATCTGTCTCTGGTTTTGCTCTGGCGTTTTCTTACTTCAGTTGGTTTAAAGGGAGTTTCTCATGTCCTGTATTCTTTGAAGAACAGACATTATTATTTGATCGATTAGAGGGAGAGACAAAGGAAATTAAAAAAAAATACTGACAATAATCATCGATCTTGAAGACAAGAGGCTCAAAGTTACCTCCATTCAAGCAGGATGCAGGTTTTTGTTGAGAGATTTCAGCCACACCTGCAGTCAAGGAAGCCCACTTAGAAATGTTCCTGGCTGGCATCTGCTTTCCCCTACATGTGCCTTCAAGTCGGCAATTTAGAGTTGGTGATCTGAAGACAGGGGGCACCATGTGACCGCTAGGGCAGGTGGTCCCTCAGTGCTGAGAGGGCTCCAAGTGGGGAGCTAGTGATCTGTGGCTGCATCCCCTCCCCACTGCCATACAGCTCCCTGTGTGGTTGCTCTGGGAGACACATGTGGACTGTGCCAGAAACAGAAAATATTTCTTTGGCGAAATCAGGAGAACACATTGTTTTGTGCTCAGCAATGTGGTAGGAGGGCCCAGAGAATGGGCCGATCCATTGTCCCGTGCACAGGGGCTGCAGCTGGCCCACTCCCTTAGAGGGGGAACAGGGAGGTTCTGAGACACCAAGGAGGCCCAGTTGCCAATAAAGGACCAAATTGGCATTGCTCCCCTAGAGCCTGCATAGCTTGGTGGGAAGCAGGGGGCTGGGACATGGGCCTGTTAGAAGCAGAGGGCAAAAAGGCCTATGTGTTGGGTGCTGGTGTACTTTTCCACCCCCATCTTGTGTTGGACAGGTTATTCAAAGCAGCTGAATTCTGTTTGTGTTTTAAATATCTCATATTTTCATAGTTAAAGCATTCTACCTTTTACCACATAGATAAGATACAAAAAGAGTTAGATTTTGTAATTTTGAAAGTGTGCATGGAGACATATGTGTTGCACCTAACTGGGCCTCTGCCCCAGTGGATGTACACACACACCCTGTATCTGAGGCATGGCTTACCCTGTACGGAGCCCAGAGAGCATCTTTGCTCACCTGGTCTGCCAGGGGTCATGGGGTACCCCCGTCACCTTCCTCAAATGCTGAGCGGGGGTGCATGATGTGCTAAGACCACCTTGAACCCAGCCAGTCAGCGCAGTTCTGTCCCCAGCTCCTGGGAGGAAGCTGCGTGCCAGATGCTTCCCGCAGGGCACCTGCAGAAGTGTTCCAAGGGATACGCTGCTTTTTGAAATGGAATTATATCATTAGTACCTGCAGGGATTAGTGCTGACATTGGGCTTATCCATCCTTACATCACCTCCTCTTGCTCAAAGACTGCAAGGGTGATCTGACGAGCCCACCCACGTGTAGCTGCCCTGACTGGGAGTTCTCGTTCTCTGTTAGGTTCTCAGCCTGTTCGTGTGGGTGTTCATGCTATGTGAGTGTGTGTGTGAGTGTGTGCAAGTGAGTGCATGAAAGTATGTGCTCATGTGAGAGTGTACATGTGGGCATATGTATAAGTGCATGTGAGCACACGTGATAGTGTACTTGCATGTGAGTATGTACACACACGTGTGCATACAGATGCATGGATGTGTACCTGTGTGCATATGTGTGTATGAGTACATTGTGTATTTGCACATATGTGTGTGCACACATAAAGTGTGGAGTTGGAGTTGATCACAGGAGAGGATTTAAACTACTAGAGCAAATATTTCCAGTGGGTTGCAGCATTTCATGCTCCCCCTCCCAAGGTGTTCCTCGGTCCTTGCTCTGGAGGACTGGCTCTCTAGGCCTTGGGCAGAGCTGGACAGGTACTCATGGGTCATGGTCTCCCATCTGCTGAGAGAATTCTGCTCGCAGAGGTGTCCTCTCCAAGAGCTCCCCACAGTCTGGTCCTCTCGCTGTCCTGCCAAGCATGTCCCTGCTTCCAGGCTGGCCCCAGGAGGCCCAGGGGCCCCAAGGAAGAACTTACCCAAGGGCAAAAGGAAAGCTCTGTGCTTCTCCTGAGGGACATTGCTCAGCACATCCACAGAATCCTGGTGCTGCCTGGTGCTTTTCATGGGACAGGTGCCATTTGTCACTGACCACACGCCCTTCACCACCAGGCAATTTGCTGGTTCAATAACACTGTCGTGTTGTGTTTCACAGCTGTGGCCTCTGGGAAGTGGGCTTTTTACCTTTGGACGACCTGTTTGAACAGTCAGCCTCAGTGCTCATTAGTTCACCAAGTGCCTGGCAGGAAGGGTCCCTCTCTGTCCCACCCTTGGCGTGACAGCTCATGCGCCTGTGTGGGCCACACAGGCACTCACTTCATGTGCTCTCTCTGTCCACTTCTCTTAACAGGTTGGTGGTTGGGGCCAGCTGTATCCTTTGCTTGCGTGTAGGTGGCTGTCCTGAGACACGCGCTTGATTGCAGAGCTCTTTCAGCTGCTCTCTCCCCCAGCAAGTGCTTTGCCGCCTTGACTAGGGATGTACTGGGCCTCTCAACAGGGAGGGCCTGTGTCCGGGCAACAGTTTGAGGCTGACCTTCTATGCCAGGGCTTCCTGGAGGCCCCTCCTGAGCCACACACTTAGACAGCTAAGCCAGCTGTAGCAGCTGGACACAGCCGAGAGGCAACCAATCGGTCCTCCCTTAAGAACAGCCTCAATCCAGCCTCATTCCTTCAGAAGGAGCCATCAAACCAGCGAGGGTCAAGAGAGGAGCCCTAGGGGGACCCAGGGTCAGGATAGAGGATATTTGAGGGAAAATGAAAGCTCCAGAGCCCCTAGTTAGAGCACAGGTCAAAGGCAGCAGCTTTGTGGCTTCTACCCACAAGGCTTTTCTCTGAGCCTAGCTGGCAACTCCATCTCTACTTGGACCTAACCAGGATGGAGGCCCAGCCCTGGAGGTTAGGATTAATCTCCAGAGCCAGGATGGAAGCCCTGTAGAGACAGAGACTAGTCTGGCCCGGTTATTGGGAGGGCGTGAAGCTGGGGCTGACACAGCCCACAGGCTGTGCACTTGAGACCTGGGCATGGGGATCTCAGTAGCTCACGATGGGAGCCTCCTCTGGGGCTGGCTGTGGGTGGTGAGGCATGGGCTGCTGGAGCAAGGCCCTGGGGTCTTGCCTCTTTACTCCCAAAGCCATGATCTGTAGGCTTCCTTAGCCCGTCACCTGCAGATGTGGCCTTGGAGTGTGCTGGCTTCCTCACAGGGATTGGACTGGACACCACCGTCATGATGCGCAGTATCCCCCTCCGTGGCTTCGACCAGGTAGTGCCCAGAGGCTCCAACTCCTGCTCTGGTTCCTTCCGGGGCCATATTCCTTTCTGCCCACCCTCCTGCAGGTACGGGCTGAGGTGAAGGCTGAATCTCTAGAAACAGGCCCTTGAGTTGAATGAGAAGATTTGTTTAGAAATATAAAAATACACTTGCCAGAGCATGGAAGGAAGGGTTGATGTGCAGAGTGTGCACACAGCCACACAGGCTGTGCTTCCTACCAGACTGTGGGCATGCTGAGCCCAGCCTCAGGGACCATCAGTTCGGATCACTTCTAATTGTCCCATTAGTAAGTGATAGCATGTGTTGCAGGAACTGTCTCCACCTCCAGTACTCCAACTCCTTGCTTCCTCCTTACCAAGCCCCTCTGAGGTCTATGTTCCTCCCCCAAAGGCAGGGGAGGAACATGGGAGACACTGGCCTGACCCTGGATTGACCATCTCAGGAGAATGCAGTGCTAGCCATCCACCACAGGCTGGAATGAGACTCACAGCACAAGTCAGGATGAGCATGCAGTTCTCCCTGTGGGCAGTCTACCCAGATGCATGCTGGGAGCACTCAGCACTGCTTGGGAAGGCTCCACCAACTGGTCATTCACGAGCAGGGCCAACACTGGCTCCAAAAGAACCTGCAGGTCTGGGTGATGGCAACCATCATGTAGCTGGAGCTCAGCGGCTCTGCGTCAGTGTTTACACAGTGATAGAGTACATAGTGGTCCTCATTCTGGTCTGGGGTGCAGGCACCCATGTAGACAGCAGGATGAGCTCCTGCCATTTGGAGATGTTTTTTGGACTAAAATTCTTCAAGGAAAATTCACTCATTAATCTGAGCACAATGGTGCACACATGTAGACTCAGCTACTCAGGAGACGGAAGCAGGAAGATTGCTCAAGTCTAGGAGTTTGAGCCAGTTGGGCATGGTGGCTCATGTCTGTAATCCCAGCTACTCAGGAGGTGGAGGTAGGAGGATCACAGTCCAAGGCTGACCTGGGCAAAAGCACAAGATTTTAGCTGAAAAACAACTACAACCAAATGGGCTGGGGTGCATGGCTCAAGCGGTAATGCATAAGGTCCTGAGTTCAATCCCCAGTACTGTCCCCCACCCAAGTTATCCATCAAAACCTGTCTGGGGGGTCTTCATTGTTGAGATGTGAAACACTCCATTCTCCCACCGAAGAAGATCTGTTACAGTGCGCACACCCATACCCTCATGGTCGCACCTCTGCTCGCAAAAGCCTGGCAAAGTCACCTGAAGGTGGAAGGAGCCAGCCCTTCCATCTCCAAACCTCTAGCTCCACCACACCACCCACTGAAAACTGGCCTCACTCAGCCACATGTCTCTACCCTGTACACTGCGTGTGGCTTCATCCTTAAGCTGGCACGCAGCTGGCACTTTACTCAAGGCATACACACCAAGCGCCTGTAGTTGGGACACAAGTCTCGGAAGCCTCAGAGCCTTCTGCTGTGGCGAGTGTGCCAGGCAGCAGATAGAGAATCAGATGAAGATGAGTCCTGAGAGGCAGAGCAGGGCTTGCAGGGATGAGCACTGTCTCAGAGAGGAGGCTGTGTGACCCGAGCTGGAGTTTCAGGAAGATACACCATCCTGGAAGATAGGCCCAGTGGCAGTAGACCTGCCTGTGACGGAGATGACCAAGAGACCAATTCCTGATGCATAGGGTTCCTCAAGTACATCGTGCAGTCTGAGCAGCTCCCTCAGGATGGTGTCAAAGGATTTAGGTGGCGATTGTTTTCTTCTTCCTGGAAGAAGCGGCTGTGGCTGGTCCCTCTGCTGGCCTGTGCAGCCCCATAATGTTGTGGAAATTGTGCCTCCATTTGCAGCCAGATGGGGACCACACAGAGCCTCCCAGGCTGTGTGGAGCACTGATGAGGAGCCGGCACCTTCTTCACCACCCAGTCTGTACCTGCATTTCTTGGGGAGCAGAGTCTTCCACCATTGTACCAGCTACCCAAGAGCGATGAGGGAGATTGGTCACACTCAGCGGGGGCTGGGTGGGGAGTGAAGGACCATCTGGTTGGGCCAGGTCAGAGTCCCCAGGATTAAGTGCCTCTCTACTGTTGGTTTTAGTGAGGCCTTAGTTAACTGGTATCTGAAGAGGAGCCTGCAGGGCCAGTGTATCCTGACCAGAGGTGTCCAGATCAGAGGATTTAGAGGTGGGAGGAGGCCAAATGCTCTCCTGGCTCAGCCCCCACGACCACAGTGGGCCAAAGGACACAGAGGTGAGGTACCTCCTTTTCCTCTGGATAGACCCTTCTTGGGTACTGCTAGGGCCTTTGAGAGTTAGGCAGGGCCAGGGCCTCTCTCCTATGACTGTCATTAGCAGCAGTGTTCTCACTGGCACCTGGTCCTCACTGCGTGTTCTCTTGTCTTTGCAGCAAATGTCTTCTTTGGTCACAGAGCACATGGAATCTCATGGTACCCGGTTCCTAAAGGGCTGCATCCCCTCACGCATCAGGAGGCTGCCAGATGGCCAACTCCAGATTACCTGGGAGGACCACAGTTCTGACAAGGAGGACATGGGCACCTTCAACACTGTCCTCTGGGCCATAGGTAAGAGTGTGGTGAGCCATACACAAATTGTGTCTAGTCCCCTGAGGCTCATGAAGACCTGCAGAACCTTGTTCCCTTGGAACAGGAATCTGTACCCTTCCTTCCCTTTGCTGGGGTTGTGTCCCTCTACTGGCTCCCAGGCTGGTCATCTGCTACCTGACACACCTCAGGGGCCACCATGAAGGCCCATGGGCACAGAACCCACATCTGGCCGTCACCAGCACACTGTGCCTCTCTCCTTTCTCCACTGTCATGTGATGTTCTGGAAATACAAACCAAAGAAGAGACCCAGATGGTGTCAGCCGGATGTCGGCTGTCATTTAGGAGACTAGTGAGTCCTGGATTCTGCATCTGTTGATAGCTTGTGTGTTAAGATTTCAGACCATAAATCCTATACATTTCCTTCAAGGCTTAGCCTTGAAATATTTTTTCTTTAACAAATTAGATGCTTTGCATTATAACTTCAAGATAGTTTTTTTTTTTTTTTGATGCAAATGAGGTTTAAACTAAGAGCTTGAGCAGATGCTCCACCCCTCTGGTTATTTTGCCTGGGTTGGCCTTGAACCTCAATCCTCCTGATCTCAGCCTCCCAAGTAGCTGGGATTATAGGTATGAGTTACCAGTACCCAGCTAAGCTAGCTGTTTTTAAAATACAAAAATGATACACATTTTTAAATTTTAAAAATTGTGCTAGCATACGCATAACACAAAATTTGCCATTTTAACCATGTCGTGTCCAGTTCAATGGTAGTAAATACATTCCCATTGTTGTGTAGCCAACGCCTCTACCCAGCTCCAGAAAAAACTCTTCTCATTCCCACACAGAAACTCCATCCCCATTGTACACTAGCTCCTCCTTCCTCTCCCCAGTCCCTGGCACGCATCATTCTCTATGAATGTGACGACTCTAGGTTCTCCTGTGAGTGGAATCCTGCAGCATTTTTTTTTTGTCTGGCCTGTTTCACTTATCATAATGTCCTCAGGGTTTATCCATGTTGTAGTGTGGGTCCGAGTTTCCTTCCTTTTTAAGCTGAATGCTTTTGTTTATCCATTCACCTGCTGATGGACATTTGGGTTGCTTCCACCTGTTGGCTGTTATGAATCGTGTTGTTGTGATCATGAGTATCCATGAGCCAGCTGTTTTTAACATATAAAAATGGTACAGGGGCTGGGGGTAGAGCTTAGTGGTAAAGCACTTGCCCAGCATGTCTGAGGCCCTGAGTTCCATTACCAGGACTATAAACACACACACATTTCACGCAGAGATTTTTCAGATTCTAATCAGGCTTTTCCTGGCTTCTGATACTTCCTAGTGGGCTGTTTGGGCTGTCCAGGTTGTCATGTGCTGGGATAGGCATCTTGTCAGCCTTTCCAGAAGTCATAGTCAATAGGTTCCAAAGGCAGCGTCCAGTGATGGGGAGAGGCCCAGGTGGGGCCATGTTCCCTGTTGCTGCCACATATGCCCAGTTTATCCTTCGAGGGAGTGCTGGGCCCAGTCTTTCATGGGGACAAAGGCCAAGCAGTTGAGGCTGTGCATAAGTGGCCTCCCTGGGTGGGTATCCCTCCCCTGAAGCCAAAGGAGACCTGGGTCTTTGTAGAGGAAGCTGGGGAGGGCAGAGATCCTAGATGCTGTCTCCAGGCATGCCAGGAGATCAAGGCACTGCAGCCACTGTGTATGGGCTCCCCAGAAGGGCCGTGGCTCTTATTGGTGCGGGTGATAATGATACACACTGAATTCCTGGTGAACATCCTCTCCCACCTCCATATGAGCGCTTCTAGTTCTGGCTTCTAGCTTTCCTGACTGCCTGTCAGCTTGTACACTGACATTGACAACATCTGTGACAGAGGGGACAATGACACTATTGCTTCCTTCCAGTATTTCTGGTTCTCCGGTTCTGTCTGCGCTGAGCCTCGTCCATATCCCTGAGTGTGAACTGGAGTGTAGAATCCAGACCATTTGCAGAGGCCCCATCTGGTTACACCCCAACGAAGCTTACGCTTACCAAGCAGCCCAGAGAAGCTGTACCATCAGCATTTGTCAAGACTAGGGTACCAGTTTCCCCCAAGATAGGGGCTCCCAGAGGAACAAGAGCAATACGCTTTTGAAAAAAACAAAACAAAACAAAACAAAAACCTATCTGTTTCTCCTGAGTTGCTCAGAATACCTGGAAATCCAGAAATGAAGTGACATCCAGAGAAGTCGACTGCTTTGCTTGTATACAGTAGGCAAAGGAGTGGGTTGGATGTGTGATGATCTGAAATGCCCAGAGTGAATTCAGCTTCTCTTGACACAAAGTTGACCAGTTACTAAAGGAGACAATCTTGGTCAAGTTTTAAAAATAAATTTTAAGTAAGTTCATTATAAATAGTACGAAAGATTAGGTAAGGTTTTTGAGTATACCGATGTTTAGCTTAAACTGTTTTAAATGGCGAGGTAGCCAGTTTTCTTCCTTCATGCATGCTCCCCAGCCTTCCCCCTTGTCCAGTCCCTCATAATAGGCACACAGAGCCCTTGTCTCAACTTGTTGTGTTTGTTTTGTTTTGTCTTGTTATGTACCTCAGGCTGGCCTTGAACTCTCAATCTTTCTGCCTCAGCCTCCTGAGCACTGGGATTACAGGTGTGCACTCCCATACCAAGCCCCTTGTCTTGCCTTTGGACTGAGGGGTAGGCTGTGCAGCCAGCCATTGAAAGGCAATAACTCAGAGAGCCAGGGGCTGTGCCTTGGAAAATCCCCAGTCCTCCCACCTTCCAGGCAGGTCTCTGGCAGGAGGCAAGTAAGGCCCCTGCCAGGCAGAGTTGCCGTACCACACATGCCCACCCTCCCCCACTGAGAGTCTGTTCTATTTTTTTGTATTTTCAAAAAGAGCATCCCCCAGACAGTCTGCCTTACTTGATTGATGCTGGGGGGTGGAAGCTTTTCGCAGTCCTTGGCCTTTGACCTTGCTTCCCTAGGGCCGAGGCAGTGGCGGCAGTGGTTTCTGGCACGCCTTCTGGGTGGTGGGGAGGGCGCCCGGGCATGTGCTGACTGTGCTGCTCTCTCTGAGCCAGGTTTTGTAAACATTCGGGAGCCACTTCCCAGTTTAACAACTGGGAATGTTTTCTGCTGCTTTGCACTGATAAGCCTTTAACCAAGCATTATTTCTACTTGCAATAAAGGATAACCCAGTCCAGGAGGTGAAAATAAAACACCCTGGGGGCTGCCTAGTTGGCTCCGCTAAAGTCTCCCAGGATTTTTCTTCCGATCCGAACAGCTAGTACTGCGTCTGAACCAGCTGGGCTTTGACATTGTTTAAAAACAGAAAAAGGAAGACATGCCTTCTTGTGTCCAATGATACACCCGGACAGGGCCTTGGCACTGCATGATGGACGGAGAGATGGACCTGCCCAGTGAGGACCGTGGACTTTGTCAGCATCCCTAAGAGAGGGGCCTCAGCTTCATCCTCAGCCCAGCCTTGATCTCCACGCTGAGGATTAAACACATTAGCAGTTAAAGCAGTTAATTGCTGTGCAGGGGGCCCCCTCATTGTTTGTCTCTGAATCACCCGCCCACACCAGGTGTCTCAGATAATAGACTGGGAACCTCAGCGAGGAGGATTTCCTGTCTGCAGATGTGCCGATTACAGCGCTGAGTGAAGACAGTCAGCCTGCATAGGCCGCCTCGGGCTCCAGTTTGCCCGGCGAGTTAACCAGTTGTGGCCTGAATCTGAGGCAGTCGGGGAGCTGGACCAGGATGGGCATCACAACCGATGCCCGCCCCCCTCTCCCAGCATAACATGTTAGAGCTCTAGTTGAGTTTAGATTTGGTTTTAAAGAAGGGACATAAAGCCTCTGGAGAGCAGCCTTGGGAAAAGTTGGAGCTGAGATTGTCACATGTCCCTTGGCATCGCAGATCCCTCTGGATGGGTCTCTGTCCCTCTCTTGGAAATATAATGAAAGCTGGTACATTTGTCTCGGAGCCACAGAAGTCCTGCCTGCAGTGGGAAGAGCTAGTGTGCACAGCACAACTCTTGTCCTTGTCATCTTAAATGCTGAGGAGGGCATTCGGCTTGCCTGAGGAGCAGAGCGGCAGGCAGGAAGTGAGGAAAGTCATTCCAATCCTCATCCCTCCACCGAGGGCATTTCTTTTCCTTCAGGTTTTGTCTTAGACAACTTAGTGTTGCCATCTGCATGTGTGTACAACACACCTGGGCCTCTGAAATCATGTGCGGATTGCCAGCCAGCCCTGGCTGTCAGGCGTGGGGCTTGGCTTCCATGTGACCATAGCATGAAGGCTACACACAAGCCACTCTGTGTAGTATGTGTCCCGGCCTGTGGCCAGGGAGCTGGGAGAGCCTGAGGAGACCATGGTGGGGCCCTTAGTGCCAAGGATGGGCAGCAGCCTGGAGCTCCTTCTGCATTTAGGGCTGCTTGCTCACGTTTACACAGTGTCTGACCTTGCTCAACTTGTTTGACTGATGGCTTCCCCATGCCACAGACACAAGTCCCTGTAGACTCCTCCCCCCACCATGGGTGCCAGGTAGCAAGCGAGGGGGCAGGGAGTCTAAACAGAGCTGAGTCCTGGGAGGCTGGGAATTATGATAGGGAATGTTCTAGAACTGATGAGGTACATCAGGGCCTGGTGCCACTGCAGGCCATGAGGGATGACTTGGCCCCTGAGGCTGGGTGACAGGACGTTGGAGAAGAGCTGTCAGGCGTGTCCTAGCGTGGACACAACCTAGTTCATTGAACCTTCCTCCTTGCAAGTATGACAGGTACTAACCCAGCCCCTGGGAGCCTCACAGCTGTGGGTTGAGCTAGGGCTCATTGAGAAGGGGCCGTTTAAGAAGAGGAGGAAAAGGAAGAGAGGAGAAGAGAAAGAAAGACGTCAGGTGTGTTGCTCAGTGGTCGAACACCAATCCCCAGCACCAAAATAAATACATATATACATAAGAAAAAGAAGGAGCTCAATAGAAAAAAGAACCTCAAGGATCTGACTTCAGTCCCCAAAGATGTAAGTCCC